GCATACGATGTCGTAACAGTAAGGTAGCATTTCGTCACACTTGAGTTTGCCTCTGTTACCACGCATACATATCAAAAGCTGTTACCTTGATGTGGTTACCGAGCCTCGATGCGACAACGATAGCTGTAGCTCTGTTCCTTACGGTTTAGCCGCGCTGTTAAGGTCAAAGTCTAGGGGTGGTATAAGGAACACCAAGCCTTCGTACTGCAAATAATTGTATTACGAAGAGATCTGAGATTGAAGTCGGACTGCTGTATGACGTAAATTTGAAAACAGCAAAGTGTTTCCTCCAGGTGTCAAGCATTCCACATTGATGGAAGTAGTGACGCTATATGACCCCAAAGGAAGGCGGATTAGAAAAAATCGGCCTTAAAACCATACATGCTGATCAACGAAGGATGGACCCTGACCGCAGTCGAAAGACGATGAGATAATACGAAGATCCTAATGCCACCCCACTGGCATCTGCTTTGCTTGGCAGCATCAGGAGTCAGATGTCCATGCCTAGGGCCAGGCCACCCCGCCCAAAAAACCAGCGGGTAAAACTGAGCCAACGGGTATCTCTGAACAGTGCTCTCAAAGATCATCACATCTGCTACCCTTTATGCTATCAAAAAACTTTCCTTCCTAGTCCTGGGCAACCGGAATTACCATTAGCCCCCACATCACTGCACAGCGTTTTTTTCTTTAATTAATGTCTTTTACTCACGGACAACACGCACTACTCTAAAAAAACCTTTATTCGTCTATCAAAAACAGCAAAAATACCTGAGAGTATCCGTATCAGATTCAGCACGAACGTAAACGAAATAGCGTGAACATATTATCTTCATTGGTGTAGTATCTGGGATAGAGAAGATTTTTGAGTTTTTTGCTCAACGTTATGGTCACCTTGAACAAATGTCAACAGGAAGGAAATGATCAAAATCAGACAGTACAAGAGAGTGTGTCAATTGGTACCACCATCAGAACAATCAACATTCTATGCGCTACTCACAGTTCCACAAACCAGAGAACGATCATACTTCATGCCCTGATGGAGGTTCACAAAGTACTACTTGATCTGGCCAAAATTTAAGGCAACAGCTCCCCACAATAGAAGCACGCTGGGCGAGCGCCGTGGCCACTCACAAGTAGCCAGCATGTGTTCATAGAACTGAAGGACAACCCTTCAGTATTCATTGATCAACATAAAAAATCGAACATGCTCAGGTATCTCTCTCAACCCCCATAACACAAAAGGGCTATGTGTGTCAAGTCGCTCGCTCCACTTGTCACCGTTTAGTTCAACTGTATCATCCATTCTGTACCTAACTGCCATGCCACCAGAAGGAAGCACCAGGGCTGAGATAGTGTCAGGTTCCCCAACCCTAGGCGGGGAAAGTCGAGAAGCAAAGGTTGGGTTCGAAACGATCAATGAATTTGCGTTTTAACTACTTAATCCATCTCGTACCCCACGGTTTAGTGTTCGCACATTGTTGGACTGTTCAACAGACTTCCTTCACCCATCCTCCGTCATCCTTAGAGAGATCAGATATGCTGTCAAATCCGTGAAAACCAAGCAGGGTTGGTCCTGCAAGGGGAAGCATTGGTCACATTTTCACCTTCCAACAGATTCTGGATCAGCGACACTGCTTCCAGCTCCCAACAATGGCAGTGTCCTTAGCTTTAAAGCTGCCTTTAACTCAGCGGACCGTCAGATACTGAGTAGTGTCTGTCTTGACCCTACTTAGGGTGCTGTACACCAATCCGCACAGACGGGTAAAGGTCTAGGGGAAGCTCTCATCAGAGTCCACATAAATTGGTGTCAGGCAAGACTGCCCTCATTCTACTTTAATTTTGCCATTGACATGATCAGTGGAGATTCAATCGCAGCCTGTAACGCTTGAGGGGCCAAAATCCTACCAGGACATTCGCACACAGATATCCAGTATGCAGACGATATAGCTCTTCTTGGGTCTGACGCCATCTTAATACAGATGATATTAAATAATCTAATCCCGCCTCGCGGTTTTGCATGCATTTCACGACTGCAAAGCGAAGAGTGCTGCTGCAAACTGGGTGGGTTCGAGCATTAACCTCATGTGTGTGGATGAGCCGACTGAGGTAAGAGGCAAAGTCGTTTACCTAGATGAGTTCCAGCAGTCTAGCAGAAGACAGTTCCGTCCGGACTGCGGAGGCTACAGCAGCCTGTGTTGCAGATGTGGCATCAGATTATCTGCAAAAGATCGAGTTAGTAATGCTGCGGTGTGCCCCGTATTATCATACGGGACAGAAACCTGAGCTGGGGGTGCTAAAGGCTTTCAATGTTTAATGGAGCGAGATGGCTCATTAGGTAGAGCACGAATTTACTGACCATTAGGTTCGTGGTTCGAACCCAACCTCTGCCTCTCGACTTTCTCTGTCTAGGCCTGGACAACTTGGCAGCATCCCAGCCTTCGCGTTTTTCTTCTGGTGGCGTAGCAGCTATGCACCGAAAAGGCGCTACAGCTGAACGAATAATGCTTGACCACGGATGTCGTCGGAGCATTGTCCCAATTTGGTGTGGACAACTGGACACTAATGTTGTGGCAGCCACAGTCACCGCTCAGTTATTACCCGGTTGATGAAGTCGCTCGGTTTGTGCGTTTTTGCCACTTGTGCCACCCTCACTTGTTCCCTGCTGAAGATTCGAAATTCCGCAACAGGACTCGACGTCCATAATGCGGTTCATTTGAGCACGCGCAGAGATTATGCATTTTTGTCCGTTTTGTATAGGTCGTCGCATAATATGCAGTCTGCTGTCAACATGATTCCAGTCCAACAGGGACCTTCCAATTGGCGAGCTTAGGATATTAACTACGCCACGAGTGCCATTGAATATCTTTGGGACCATTTGATACACAGGGAACTGAGCGAGAACTACAGTTCGCCTTTCAGAGAAATTACAAATATTTGGCGACACATAATCTTGGTGGAACCCTGTGGGCGTGCTTCTGACATAAATTATCACCTTCAGTTGTAAAAACTATGCTACCACGCTGACCACTGATGCGTGAATACAGAGAAGTCAGTGGACTGTCCGTTGGCAAGATCAGAAGATGATATCCATTGAGGGAAACAGCCTTGATGCATTCTCGCAAGAGCGCATGATCGAGCCGGATCTGAACACGTCTGTAACCATCGGAGCGTGCCGCCCAGCAGTCTCCACAGGGGAAGAAGGTAATGACTAGCACAAGTCTGTGTTAGTAACCAAATCTGCACATCGCGGCCGTAACCACTTGACTCCCCCTCACGTGTTTCCATCCATTGCGTGATCATACGACGAGGGTCTCTGAGGAAGTATGTCGACTTGGATTGGGATAACGTGACCAGTCCAGCTGGACTAAGCCTTTCCGATCAGATAAAACGTTCTGAGTAAAAGGAAATACGACCTACTCTTCTTCGGCGCCGGTCTCCGCAGAAGTTCGTCTATGTTCCGTTCTGGGACAGCTCCTGTTTATGATCTACGTCAACGGACTTACAGACGCACTTTCAAGTCCGTCTACTTTTCGCAGACGACTTGGAATCCTGGAGTTCCGAAGCCAGTATCTCCAAATGGATGTAGACGATTCAATGCAATGGATTGGTACCTTCCACCGAATGACGAAAGTGAGTCCACGTCATTCGGAGACTCACCGAAAGCCTGCCGTGCGTGGTGACAAGGAGCCGGCATACATTACAAGGATAGATACAAAAAAGGACTTAGGTATCTGGTATCTCTTCAAACATATCCTTCTCACTTCATGAAAAATCAGCTCAAAAGGCACTCGCCGTTCTATAAATGATTTGGTGCACCTCTCTCCGTATTACTTGCATGAGCTTCCAGATACTCTGAGGGGCCTCTTGGATATAACAACTTGGTTTTCTACTCAGAACGCATGAAAGACGGCCCTCATTGAGTATGTCCAAAGAGCTGCTATGAAAATGGTTGCCAGGCATGATTCCGTTTGTGAAACACGTCTCGAGGTGCTTTACCTATTCATTTTGGAGTATCATCGCCTCCTAGGAGAGCTCATACTTACTTATGTTCTATTGGAAAAAGGTTCCGCCAACAGGCTTTTCACCGTTGACTACGGAGGTAAGATTTTGAACTCCAGAGCACACACTTTTATTGGGCAGCCAAATACCTCGTTTCGGATAGTTAGTGCGCGGAACAAACTTTCCCCATCGATTGTTTGCGCTGCATCTCGTACCCGGTTTAAAGCAACTTCAGATGACTTTGATATGAATCCTCAGGCTGGCAAGCTTACTGCCCCACGCTGAGAACTTAAAGGGCGCTGCACTCGTCTTGCGCTTGTGCCCCTCAAGTGAACGGAAGCTGCTGAATAACAACCAACCCAACTAGGAATGATTGGGCGAAAGCCTCGATCCTGTGTATCAATACATGAATATGTGAAAACTTATAGACTTGAAAGTCTATCGATCGCAGGCGAATGATTTCGTATAAAATAGTTCCGTGTACTCCAGCACTGTTGATCCAAAGTACCCAGTGAACTCGACAAATCTGCCGAAGACATTGAAAGTCAAAGCCCAAATTCTCCTAGCGGTTCGAATTTGGCACTGCCACGGCCAATGAGTCAAACCTGCAAACGTTTGGACAGAAGGACGGATACCTTACCAGTCCAACATCAAGGCTAACTCTAATTGGCCAAGAGCCAGAAGTCGACAGCCAATCATGGGCCACGGATTCAAGGATAGATACACAGGAACGAGGCCTTCGGTAAAACTTCCCGGGTCGGATTCGTTCTTATCGTTCACCTGAAAGGCACAAGTAGAAAAAAGGGTGTGCCACTGCTCTTTATGTTCTCAGCGCGGGACAGTATGCTTGCCAGCGCGAGGATTCGCATAAATAAATATCTAATAGTGCTTTGAAGTGGGTTCTAGAAAGAGCGTGGACAACCGTCGGAGGAAGGATATTCCACACAGCTATTACTCGAAATGAGAAAAATTTTTGCCTATTGAGTGTGTGCGCTCTGTGCTTGAAAATCAACTTACTATGTCCCCGCCGTGTGTTTGCTTGGTCGATGGTGAAAAACCTGTTGGCCAACCTTTGTCCAAGAAGGGCATAATTAAGAATTAGGTCCCCTCGGGGCGACGATACTCCGGGGGAAGGATATTAAGCATCACGAGACGCTTCCAAAAAAGCTGGCCTCAGTTTTAATCGTTTGAGGAAGTCATTCATTTCTGGGAACTCTGCACGGGGGAAGTTCCGAATCAACTTCCGAGGTTACCGATTTGCGGCCCATTGCCAGTGAAATCAAATGTCAGTACATAGTAGCCACTGTGTCCCGGTAGAGCTCTAATTAACACTTGATCAACGAATTGTTTTTTGATGATGATGGCCAAATCCAAGGGAGACTGAATTTGGCCCGTGCTGTACTTTGTGGGTGTGACAGCATGTTGATTACAGCACTTTTTTGGGCGACTTCGGTCAGTGCCGAAGCGATGTGTGAAGTAGGCTCGACCCGCTAGAACTCCACCCGGGAGGACTTGGGGCGTTTAAGTAGCCAACCAGCAAGAGATATGTGAAGTGATAGCTGAAGGAGAATTGCTCAAATTTGTATGAGTAACTAGTCATCTTCTGCAATGGTAGACCACGCCGAGAAGAGAATCGATCCCATGTGGTGGAATATAGGTGAGCAGTGCATTACAGAAAAGTACAAAAGTGGTTCGCCGAGGAGGCGTTTAAGTAGCCAACCAGCAAGAGATATGTGAAGTGATAGCTGAAGGAGAATTGCTCAAATTTGTATGAGTAACTAGTCATCTTCTGCAATGGTAGACCACGCCGAGAAGAGAATCGATCCCATGTGGTGGAATATAGGTGAGCAGTGCATTACAGAAAAGTACAAAAGTGGTGTCGCCGAGGAAACTCGGGGTGGGTATGAGCACATCTACGTACAAGGCAACCCCACCTACCCTACGGTGTTTCGAGTCAGCTCGAAGGCGGAGTAGCCATCCACTGAGATCTCGGCGTAAGTGGTGTCTGGTGTGAGCCAGTTCCCCTTAGGCGCGATTATGGACGCCTGTATAAGGCACGCTTGCGGTTTGACATCTCAAAGTTTGTTAAAAGAAAGACGGTTGCGAAAGCACTTCACATTATCTCTTCTGCGTCGGAAGGTGAGAATCTGAAAAGTGTGCTGCCCGAGAGGTTGAAAGATTTACTAGCTTTATTCCGGGTTTGTGTCCAGGGCTTCACAGGGTCTTCCACGACCTGCGTGTGTGCTTCTTTCGTTCGTCCTTCCGCGAACTGCCCTCCATTGGCAGAAAGACTTTGGCCCCCGAGGTTCCGGTTTGTGCTTGGATTTTTCTCTCCTGGAGGACGTAGTTTTCCCACTTTTTGGTTGAAAATTTCGATGACTGCTACTTGTATCTCGTATGTTGTTCATGTATGCGTTTAGATTCTTGGGCGTTTTAGCGGGTGTGAGCAATAAGTTGCATCTGGGAAGCCCTTAAGCTTGTTGGCGTTGAACGGCACCATCAAGGGGTATCCCATGTGGTGGCAAACCCAAGGGGCTGAAACCCAAGGACTGCATCTTGGATCTAGCCAACGGCTTTTCGTTGAGATGGGATTCACTTGGCTTATCCGACCACCGTCGCTTTCTTTTTGGGTTTGTGTGGACTCGCAGGTCATTCGCAATTGTCGTGGCTAACTCAGTGTTTGTTGCTCTGGCTTTGAGGGAATGAGCGACGACTGTGCACACGATCGGGGAGCCTGCTTTTGTTGGAGCGGGGGTGCAGGATGGCAGTATTTCATTATCCGTGGTTGTGGGGTTCTCGCAACAGTTTTCGACGTTAAGATCTCTCAGAAGTTTCCACGGCTTGTCTCTGCACAGCCGCTTTAATCCATCTTAGGATTTGTGAATCGTACGCGGAGTTCACTGCTGTGCCTCTCTCGTCCGGTAGGGAAATAAACGATGTAAAGTCCACGTACGTCGGATGCTGCGCCAACCCTAAGCTTGCTTCGCCGCAAGCATTCATTTCTTTGATTGTTGCAGTGTCCCG